GCCTTCACAAAGGCAACATGAAATTACTGACTCTGTCAACACCTTCCCCCCAACGGCCACCAGGAACATGCCTATATAAACAAAGTTAAGTTGATCTAGTTGTTGCAACAGGAGAGGTGGCACATAATAGCGAACTATGGGGTAGGTCTCTAAGAGGATGGTTAGAAGAAGTTGATTGGATTTGCGCACATGTAAAGTGAGGAGAGTGGTCAAGGAAGCAGGGCTTTGCCTTTGATTAGATGTCATAAGTAAATGGAGTTACTTCTGTGACTGCGCATCTTAAGAATTTTTATCTAGATGGCAGGAACAATGTAGAGAGGCTAAAACCAAGATTGGTAAGGCAGCATCATTTGTCACATTAGTGAAGATGGGGGATATGCAGTCATTTGGGGTGGTTTGCACCCATTTTTTGGTCTGTTGAAATATGATTACAAGATGGTCACGTTTTGGTCTTGATCCATCACAATCATGAAGTGGCCTTGTCTGTTGTTGGCATTCTGAGCTGTTGCACATATTCAGCAGGAGAACACCGCAGGCTAGCTGTGAGCACTAGTCAATGTCAACATTGAGCATCTCCAAGGACTAACTGAAGTGCCCAGCCAGCTTCTGATTATCAGTGGCTTCTTTTTGCTTTTTCAAATGAATATCAAGAGAGGCATAATAGGATAATATTTATGTTTTAGTAAGTTCACTCTGACAGAAGTGATGTGAAAACCTCTAAAGGAATACAGTATTAGTGGCAGGGAAGACCAGCTAGGGATTTTCTTCTTAAACAGAGGTAACCCATGGCATTAGCTTTAATCAGGGTTGTAGTGTTAGGAATAGAGAGAACTGGACACTTTCAAGAGTGGTTAAGGGAATGAAATTAATTGAACTAGGGTGGACTTGCAAATGGTAGGAAAAAAAAAAAATCTAGATGACCCAGTTAGCTTTTAGATTTCTGGATTAGGCTGTCAGAAGAAAGAAAGGAAAGAGAAAGAATAAAGGAGGGCTGGGGAGAACATAAGATTTATTTTAAGTTTTCAGGCAAATATCCAACTAAAGTTGTCTATTAAGCAATTAAATAAACTGGCTTGGGCTTCAAGGGAGAGACATAAGCTAATGATACATATTTGGGAGCTATTAGAAAATAGATGTTATTTGAATAGGAAGAAATGAGGATAATCCAGGGAACAAAAACAAGGGAAGAACTGTGTAGAATATCAATAATAAAGGAAAAAGGAGATAGAACAAATGACCAGAAATGCACAAAAGTAACCAATAGATAATGGTATCCCATAAACCCAGGGAGAAAAGAATTTCATGAAGGATAAAGAGGTTAAAATAGAGTATAGTCCTGCAGAGAAGTTGAGTAACTAAGACACAAAAATATTCCTATGTGTTTAAAGGAGAGGAGGGTTTTATTGAAGATATGGATGTGTGGCTGAATGGAAGCAGATTCCTTATGACATAGTGAAAATATTGAGAACTCACACACATACACACACACACACACATACACAGATTAGCCTTAACTGGCCAAAGCACAGTCTCTTCCACCAAGGCAGAGGGGGAAAAGAGAATATGAGCACAAATACACATAATTTGTTAGATATCATCTTAAATAAACTAAGAGGGAAAGTCATCTGCCATGCCCGTTAAAAACTCAAAATAACTGTCGAGAGAAGGAGAGAAGAAAACTTACAAGGAATGCATGGAAAGCTTATGGAGAAGCACCAAAGCATCTGTGTAAGTAGAGTATTTCTGAAACAGAGTAATGTCTGGAAGTCAAACATCTACAGTCTAGTTATGCAAGGAGGTAGGTGAATTGAGCAGATTAGGGAAACGGAAACCTTTGGAGATAGCAGGACAACCAATATGACCTGAGATTTTTAATGAAGGCATAATGTGGGTGGAGAAGAATATGATCCTGGTGCCAGTCTTCAATGAGAAAATATTATCACAAAATGGTGAGTAACAGATGGCCATCGGGATAGCCAAGGGACGAGATATTTTTACACAGAAAGAAGTACCTTCGCAATTGGCCCTGGGAAGTGAGGAAACTAGCAATTCTAAATGAGTGGGAGGATATATGCAACTAAGGAATCATTGAACACTACATCAAAAACTAATGATGTACTATATGCTGGCTAACTAAACATAATAAAAAATAAATGAGTGGGAGGAGTTAAAGAGTCACTAGTCTTAGTGGTGTTCTCGAGGGTAAAAGTGGTTTCCATGTAGTACTAGAACAAGTAATAATGAGTACATAGGACAGAAAGTTTGTTTCGGAAGAAGGACTTCAGAATGCACAGAGAGTACGTATGTGAAGGACCCAAGAAGCAAGGCCAAAGAAGGGCAGAGAGATGAAGAGTCAAGAAAACACAGATGAATAGAGATACCTATATTGTGGGTGGCAAACCCAGATAATAGACCTAAAAGAAATGTAGAATTAATTGGCTTCAGGATTTCCAACAGAACTTTGTTAAAAGTTGATTTGGTATGAGTGAGAGCAAGCATGGGCTCCAGAAAGAGCCCAAGGCCTGTTGACCTTAATAGCTGGTATGAGGGCTTTCAAGAGAACACTATACAGGTGTACAACCACCTTGCAGTAAGACTAGATTGTTGTTTTAATTACTACCTTACATTACCATGTGCTCAGTTCAAGAACTTGAGTAGCTACACCTGTTAATTCCACTTGAATTTCTCAACTGTGGTGACATTAACAGAATGAGTAAAGGATCTAGGAGTTTGGTAAAGTCTCAGATGATGCCTTAGAGTGCTGATTCTCAAACCTTTATGTACAAACCAATCACTTGTGGATCTTGCTCAAATACAAATTGATTCATTAGGTCTGAACTCACACGTTTCTAATAAGTTCACAGATGATGCCAATATTGGTTGTCCGGGGACCACTCGGAGTAGAAATGTCCCCTGGAATTCAACTTTTAAGTAAGTGCATTATGTTAGTTATATAGATAAGACACATGACTAGTAGAAAAAGAAAAATTGTTAGTTTTAAAAATATATAAAACTGAAGTGATAATATTCTACAACATTCTAATTGGCTGAAAACACTTGAAAGTAATAGATGAGTGAAGGAGTCGAGTGAAAGAAAAAAAAAAGAGGGTAATATTTAGCCACTTTTAATGCCTAAAAACGAATACCACTCAAGTTCATGAGACGGGCCTCCTGTGTGTTCAAAATAAGTTACATACACTGACAGGTGAAGAAGTAAGAAAATTAATGTACGTCTAAACTGCATATCCATCATCACTATGTATTTCTCTCAAGGATTTTTAATACATACATATTATATTTAGCCTGAAGGAAATGTCTAGGTAAATCATTTCATGTCCTATTTTAGTAGGCAATTAAGAATGATGTTGTTATTTCAGAAAATGAGAGTAGAAGTTGATAAAGGTGACTCACAAGGTATCAGAAAACCACTCATACAATATTGTACATCTTTTTTAGCACTTTCAGTCTGTCATTGCTGACACTATTGATTAAATGCAAATTGCTTCTAGGTAACCATATGATAACAGGAAATTTTTGAATTTATATTCTTGAGATTCTGGTACTCAATTTTCCTGCTTGATCAGAGCTGTTTTAAGATCCAGAAATAGGATGACAAACAGATAAGTAGATTATTGGGATAAATTTTTAAAAATTTAAATTAGCTAATAAAATGTCTGTCCAAGGTGACTCATACTTTCAGTGGTCAAATACATCACATGAACTTTAAAATGTATTTTAGACTTGATCTTCTCTAAGCAGTTTTCTACTTAATAGAACTTCCCTCCACAATCATCACGAAAAACATACCTTCAAGTGAGTATACTTTGAAATAACACACTTTGCTAATTTTCTACTACATATATTATGCTTCAGTTTAATTTTAAAACTAAAACATCATCATAGTGCCCATTTCTTAAAATTATTTATAATTGTCTATTATACTAATGACAGTACACTGTATATAACTAATAATGCTTTTAAAATAACTTCTCAATTTATAAATTGTTAACTCTGAGATATGTTGATGGAACCATCTCCTCTCTACCTCAAGCAGCCTAAAAAATAGAATATTTTCTCCTAGAAGAAAATCATTTCTTGCTCTCCCAATGTTCCAACTGCAGAGCAAGTATTAGCTTGTATCTAAGAGAGTGTTGTGTTTGGAAAAATCTAAGAGAGTTTGTCTGCTAGGAAACTGAATGCTCGAAACATGAAACTGAGTTATTCACACACATGACCTTCCTATAGCTAAAATTATTTAACATTCAGAATATTTGTTTCTTTAGCCTGCCCACTACAGAGTATTCACTCTATTAGAAACGCTCTCACAATTGCCAAAATGGATGTTTTATAATTGTAGAAGTTGAAATATCAAAGCCCTGATAATGTCCTTGAAGATGAAGCAGCTCCTATTAAATTAATAAAAATCCCTATTGTGAAAGACAATTATAATGCCTCAGCAGGTAATAAAAACAGTAAACCGCCTCTTACTATAAATAAATATTGAAAAAGGCTGGACATCTTTTAGTTATGGTAATGCAATACATAAATATCTGGGCAATGCAAATCTGTTACAAGTACTAATGAGTATAAAAAATAACTTTTTGATGATAGTGAGAGCATAAACAGGGTCCTAAGTCTAGTATTTCTAAGGGTCTATTCTATTCTGCAAGCTTGCTAAGTCCCAGCCTTGAGGTGACAGAACATGAAGGAAAATCAATATGAGTTAATGTTATAAAATTGTTAATTTACAGCTAAATATTAAAAAATTTAAAGAAGGTTTATGAAAAGCATCCCTGCTCAGTCACAAAAGAACCAGGAAAAATTTCTCTAAGCTAAACTCTGATTCTGCTGGATATGTAAAATATACTTTAAAGATATATTTAAAAGCATTATTCCATATTGCTTTAATCTTTTCAACTGACAGAATCAGATAGTACAAAGCACAGAGTTTACAAGCAGCAAAACTTAGGAAAATACATAAAAATTAATGCATAACCTACATTGACTTTTTCTTTAAGGTCTGAGAAGTTGCCTTCCTTCCGATAGATTGCAAATTCAGGACTCTGCAACACAGCTTCTGAACGAGTAATCCAACTGTGAAGTTCAGTTATATCGACATCCAACCTAACACAGGAAAAAATAAGGGTCATTATTTCTTGATTATCTCTTTCTTCTACATGAAAAAAAAAAAAGTAATCTCTCCACGTTTACCATTCTCCTTCCAATCTGAGACTCCTGCCTGATGCCCCTGTTACTGTTAATAGCACTACCATTTCCCTAGTTACGTAGGCTCAAAATTTGGAGTTAGCTTTTTTTAATATTTTTTATTAATTTATTTGACAGAGAGAGACACAGCGAGAGAGGGAATACAAGCAGGAGGAGTGGGAGAGGGACAAGCAGGCTTTCCACGGAGCAGGAAGCCCGATGTGGGGCTCAATCCCAGGACCCTGAGATCATGACCTGAGCCGAAGGCAGACACTTAACGACTGAGCCACCCAGGCACCCCTGGAGTTAGCTTTGATCCAGTCTTATGATCATGGAAATCACTTTATTAAGCTCAATGTAGCAATCGCCTCCCTAGAGTATCTCCTATAAGCTATCATTCTGCCTCTACTTGAATGTTTGCACTGGCTGAAAAATTACTATTCCCCAAGTTAACCCTCTTTCTTTCTGGAAAGTACTTATACCAAACATAAAATTCCTGTCGGTAGCTCCCATTGAACCATACCTTGGAAATCCATGCCCTTGTGTAGTCTCCAACAATATCACTGACTCTGAATTTGACCATGTAACTTGCTATGGTAAATGGGATATTAGGAAGCATAAGGCAAGCAGAGGCTTCATAAGTGCTTGCACTGTGGATCTTGTCCTCTTAGAACATGTACTGAGAATGCAACTGTTAGCTAAGAATTCCAATGGCCCTTTAAGGAAGCTTGATCTAGCCAGCTGGAGAGACAATGTCGAAGCTAATGAGGCACCACACACGTGAAGAAAGCTTTCTTTCACCTTTTGACCTGACACCAGCTGAATATAGCCAAATGAATTCTCCAGCTAATAGCACTTAGAGCCTCAGAACTACCCAGAGAGCCCTGCCCACATTGCAGAACCCTGAGAAAAGATAAGATGCTGCAATAAGCATCTAATCATATACCCTGATATTCTCATTCTTTTATTGTGGAGACCTATGGAGCCAATGGGAGTTAATTGTTCAATCAGGTCATTCAGATTGAGGTAAAGCAGAGATTGGAGGAGAGTCATAGACAGTTGCAAGGGAGGAGGAGGTCTGTGCATCACTTGAAATTCCAGGCACAATTCTAAATTGTGTGTGCATTTTTCTTGAGAAAGAACCCCTAGATTTTATCAGCACCTGTAAAGAATCTATGAAAAGAGAATTTAGAAATCATCTAATCCAAGTTTATTAAAACAACAGTCAACAAGGTCTCCAGAAAAATATTCAATTTTTATAGGAAGCTTGTGAAATAGGACAAAAGTACAGATATAAAATTTAAGACACCAAGTAATGTACTTTTATCACCATGATACATCTTCTTATCCAAGACAACCCTCACATAGTTGAAATCAATTCTTTAAAAACACTAGAAAATATCTGAGGGTACCCTACCTTATTCCTAGTTACTTCCATGGCTAATGCCTTGGCTTGTCAGTATCTTGTTTAAAATTTGGCTCCTAAAGAGACCATGTCAATAGTGTTTAGTACAATCAGGAAGGAACAGACAATTGTCTTCTTGGATATGCAGCCTACAAGTTTGATCAATGTTTTGACTTCCATATTAGACCTTTAACTCACATTGAAGTTAAATTGAGCTAGACATCTCAGAATTTTTCACATAAACTATTGCTAAGCCAGTTCTCCACAACCACAAACTTAGGAGCTGATTTCCTTTTTTTTTTTTTCTTTTTTTGAGAGAGAGGGTGCAGGGCAGAGGCAGAGGGAGAGGGAGAGGGGGAGAGAGAGAATCTTAAGCAGGTTTCACACCCAGTGTGGAGCCCAATGTGGGGCTCGATCTCACAACCCAGAGATCATGACCAGAGCCAAAATCAAGAGTCGGACGCTTAAACGACTGAGCCACCCAGGGGCCCTAGGAGGTGATTTCCCAAACTCTTACTTCAGGGCTTTCAGTCATATAAACCTGATAAGGTGTTGCATGTTAGTTGCAGGCTACTGTTTTAAAATTAAACTGATACAGACCTTCACAGAACATGAAACACTTCCAAAAACATATTCTCTTTTTGTGTTCTTAAAAAAGCCTATGGTGAGTTATTATTAATCTCTCTGCTCGTGTAAGAAGGAAGTTCAAAGAAATTAAGTGAATTGATCTCAGACTGTTAGTACCATGGAGAAGGAACTTAATTCATCTTCTTTACCATTATATCCTTCACCTCAAATAGGTCCTGGTTCACAGGGACAAATATTTACTGAGTGAAGGGTACTCAACAAGAAACTGAAGGAACAGGGAACTGAATTCAGAGACTTGGACTCCAATTCCATGTTACTGAATGTCAAAACTTTTATTTGCATTTGGGCTGTAAATATCTATGGATTTTCATTTTATCATGGTGATTGTTATCTTCCCTACATTTGTTTTTTCCTGTAAGTTTAGTTACCGGGTTTCCTATTTCTTCATTCATAATGGTGATGTTGAAATAGAGTCCTATTGCATGCTTCTAAACACCTCTCTTTCTCTCTTTGATGTTAACTCACCAAATCAAATCTTTGACTCTGGTCACTCAGCCACCTACAAAATTCAGTGCAGGTTTTCCATCAGAATACTTTAAGAAAAGAAGCATTTTTACTTTTCCTTTTGTACAATACAGATATCACTGGGTCTCTCTGCCTTTAGGCATTCACTTGCCAGTGCACAGGGGAGGCCAGAAGTGCTCAGATGTTAATCCCACCAGAGTGACCCTTAACAAGAGAGAGCTAGGAGCTGGTAGATCAATATCCCAGCACCCCTGCCTTTCAGTATGACCATCATGGTGAAAGTTACACACAGAACCTCAGGGGGTTCCCAGACGGTTTCAACTCCAGTTGCCTCCAGCAATAACCCAGTATCATCTTTTATTGGCTGCCTTCTTTCCCTAACCTCACTCCCCCACTTTATTTGCTGGGATCACTTCTCCCAATAAAAAACTTGCACCTAAATCTTTGTCTCCAGATCCACTCCCGGGGAACCCAACTAAAGCAATGATCAACAGCTGCAAATGAACCCAGCATCCTGTCATATTAAGCTGTTTTCTCCTTGAACTCTGACTCTCCACAGGAACTATTTTAAACTTTTTCCAAAGCTTTCAAAGCGTTAACCCATCTTCCTTCTACAGCTATCAACAGATGACATTTTTTACTCAACCAATGAAAGGGCAATTATCAGACTAGAATTTCTTCCACTTTCTATGTCCAAATATTCAATCTTACCTGTGTGTGCCTGTCTCATTCCCTTCTCTTACATTTGAATGAGTTTCCCTTCTTTACCTAAAGCCAATCACTCTACTTGCCTTTTATACTTTGTTCTTTCACTTTTTTAAATTTCATTTTATTATGTTAGTCACCATTCATTATATCATTAGTTTTTGATGTATTGTTCCATGATCTATTGTTTGCATATAACACCCAGTGCTCCATTCAATACTAGTGCTCCTTAATACCCGTCACCGGGCTAACCCATCCCCCCAACCCTCTCCCCTCTAAAATCCTCAGTTTGTTTCTCAGAGTCCATAGTCTCTCATGGTTCATCTCCCCTTCCGATTCTCCCCCCCTTCATTTTTCCCTTCCTACTCTCTTCTTTTTTTTTTTTTAACATATAATGTATTATTTGTTTCAGAGGTACAGAACTATGATTCATCAGTCTTACACAATTCACAGTGCTCACCATAGCACATACCCTCCCCAATGTCTATCACCCAGTCAACCCCATCCCTCCCACCCCTCACCACTCCAGCAACCCTCAGGTTCTTTCATGAGATTAAGAATTCCTCATATCAGTGAGATCATATGATACTTGTCTTTCTCTGATTGACTTATTTCGCTTAGCATAATACCCTCTAGTTCCATCCATGTTGTTGTAAATGGCAAGATTTCATATTTTTTGATGGCTGCATAATATTCCATTGCGTGTGTGTGTGTGTGTGTGTGTGTATACACCATATCTTCTTTATCCATTCATCTGTCGATGGACATCTGGGCTCTTTCCATAGTTTGGCTATTGTGGACATTGCTGCTATAAACACTGGGGTGCATGTACCCCTTCGGATCACTACATTTGTATCTTTGGGGTAAATACCTAGTAGTGCAATTGCTGGGTCATAGGGCAGCTCTATTTTCAACTTTCTGAGGAACTTCCATACTGTTTTCCAGAGTGGCTGCACCAGCTTGCATTCCCACCAACAGTGTAGGAGGGTTCCCCTTTCTCCTCATCCTCGCCAACATCTGTCATTTCCTGACTTGTTAATTTTAACCATTCTGACTGGTGTGAGGTGGTATCTCATTGAGGTTTTGATTTGGATTTCCCTGAGGCTGAGCGATGTTGAGAACTTTTTCATGTGTCTGTTGGCCATTTGTATGTCTTCTTTGCAGAAATGTCTGTTCATGTCTTCTGCCCATTTCTTGATTGGATCATTTGTTCTTTGGGGGTTGAGTTTGAGAAGTTCTTTATAGATTTTGGATACTAGCCCTTTATCTGATATGTGATTTGCAAATATCTTCTCCCATTCTGTCGGTTGTCTTTTGGTTTTGTCGACTGTTTCCTTTGCTGTGCAAAAGCTTTTTATCTTGATGAAGTCCCAATAGTTCCTTTTTGCCCTTGCTTCCCTTGCCTTTGGCGATGTTTCTAGGAAGAAGTTGCTGCAGCTGAGGTCAAAGAGGTTGCTGCCTGTATTCTCCTTTAGGATTTTGATGGACTCCTGTCTCACATTTAGGTCTTCCATCCATTTTGAGTCTATTTTTGTGTGTGGTGTAAGGAAATGGTCCAGTTTCATTCTTCTGCATGTGGCTGTCCAATTTTCCCACCACCATTTGTTGAAGAGGCTGTCTTTTTTCCATTGGACATCCTTTCCTGCTTTGTTGAAGATTAGTTGACCATAGAGTTGAGGGTCCATTTCTGGGCTCT